CCCAGCCACTCAACCAGGCCTAGCCAAGTTGACACACACACTTAACTACCACACAGCTGTCCCCTGATAGGACCCTATCTGTTATACCTTCCAAAAGTGCTTAACTTTCCTATTTTATCAAAAATTCCTTAAGAGGCTCTAGACTAAATTCCAAGCACTAGGTTAAATAAGCAATAGACAGCTGAATAGGGCATCACTTTAGTAAGTTGCAGTATAAAGAAAATAATTAACATCAAAATGTATAATTCCTAACTTTTGGAGCTTAGACATAGAAACATGCCAAAGACATTGTTGTTAGGTGCTGTCAAGTCATCTCTGACTCATAGCGACCCCATGCACAGCAGAATAAAACACTGCACAGTTCTGTGCCAGCCTCCCTATCATTGCAGCCACTGTGTCAGTCCATCTCACTGAGGGTCTTCCCCTTTTTTGTTGACCCTCCACTTTACCAAGCATGATATCCTTCTCCAGGGAATGGTTCCTTCTGACAATATGACCAAAGTAGGTGAGACGAAGTCTGGCCATTCTTACTTTCAAGGAGCATTCCGTCTGCACTTCTTCCAGGGCAGATTTGTCCTTTTAGCAGTCCATAGTACTCTTAACGGGAGCTCTGGTAGCAAAGTGCCTAAGGCACTTGACTGCTAACCAGAAGGCAGGCAGTTCAAACCCACCAGCCACTCCTCGGAAGGAAGATGGGACAATCTACTTCCATAGTGATACTGCCTGGGAAACCCAAGGAGGGGTCGCTATTAGTTGAGTCCGACTTGACGGCACATAACAACAACAACAAGTACTCTTAACTGTCTTCACCAACACTACAACTCAAAAGCATCAACTCTTCTTCAGTCTTCCTTATTCATTGTCTACCTCTCACATGTATAAGAAGTGATTGAAAATACCATGGCTTGGGTTAGGTGCACACCAAAGACATTAGTGTGATGTAATAAGGGTTATATTAGAGACACATATAAATTATTTTAGAAAGACAAGAGAGTAATGGAACCAGAAAAAGCTGCAAAAGGAAGAAAATATAAAGGATTGATTAATGGTGTAT